ATGCTGGCAGATAATACCCTAAAGCGCAAGGCATGTGGCCTTGTTTCTATATATGAGATCAGCAAATAAAAGGAACAAAACGGTGGCACTACCCCAGCTGTAGAGTTTAAGAACATGGTTAAGCACTTCTGCTAAGAGCAAAGAGAGCTTATGTTAAAATTAATATCTGTTGCAAACTGAAGTGTTACTTCTGGATGATCCCAGAGGTTCTGCCTGCCTTAGGTCTTGTAGCACGGTGGAGGAGAGGAGGCCAAACGGGTCATTTAGCCTGCATGGCACTAACTTAAACTGTTAGTACGTCTGCAGCTGATAAAACCTGGTTAAACCAAGACCTAAGATGTCAAGTTTTAATAACAATAACTTAAAGTTTCATGTAAAGGGAAGAGGTTTTTTGCTGCCATCAGGTTGGTCATAAGCGATAACTTGTTGCATGCTTCTTCTCTGTATGAAGTTGTTCCTTTGGCATTAGTTATTAGATGGTAAAATACATACTTAACTAGAAGTTTGGTATATTAACCAACTAGAATTTTATATATGTGTTCAAATATTTAAGATACAAGTCTCATTTGGTATCTTTCTTTGTTGTTTTCCTGGTCAGAGTCATAATCACAGTGCTACAAAGTATGTTCCCCCTCAAGTAAGGAAAGCTCAGGAGACACTAGATGACAAGAAAAGAGAAGAATTGGGAAGGCTGAAGAAAATGGTGAATGGTCTCATTAATAGGTAATGTAATAAGGAAAGTCATTAATCTTTCTGATTCGATGTGACAGTGCTCATCATTCAAAGAAAAGTGGCCAGGATGTGACTTTTCTCTTCACAAACTGATTTTAAGTTGGCAATCATGTCTGCTATCCTTAATAATAATTATCTTTGTTGATATAAATTCTTCAAAGTTGGTCGTTACAGAAGTTGAAAAATCTAGAAAATAAATTTAGGATTGGGCTGAATTCCACACAGCAGTTGCCTGCAAGTGTTAGGCATAATTCACTAGGTGTCAGTTGGAGCATGTCTGTAAAAAAAACTCATAGAGTGAGTTATAACTCCCCTCCAAACCCCATGATTTTCTTTTTTTAATTAAATAAAATTAAATTTCTCCAACACTACAACTGAGGAGGAGCAACACTTCAACCTACTGAAGAACAGAAAAAGTAATTAACACTTCCACGTGTTTTAATTTTAGAGTATTTTTAAAATAAGAAATCTATTGGCGTTTTCTTTTATCTATGTTATCTGTAAAATGCAGACTACAGTATGCAGTTTGTTCAGTCATTTAGAATTTGATATACCTTATATGTTAGAAAAGTATGAGGTATTTTCGTACTTAATTTTGCCAAAGACTGTGATGTGCCATAGTTAAAACTGCTAAGAACAGTGCCTGCTTTCTTAATAAGTCTGTTCAGTGTGACAGTAAGCACATCGACAGTGCTTTGTAAATGTTTTTACATGTAAATATTTTCCCAAAAAAGCCCAGAATTAAACATATGTTGTATATTTTTAGTTTAGTGAACACAGCAAAATACAAAAGGTCCCTTCCAGTCATCTTTTCAATCTTTCTTCTTAAGCCAAGCTAGTTTCTCTAAAAAGAATGGGTTGGTTGTTGGGTAAATTGAAAATTGTGGAATTGTGTAAAGAGAAGAAAAAGTGAACATTGGATTTTGTTTCTCAATAGATTGAGTGAACCGAATTTGTCCTCCATTAGTGGACAGATGGAAGAGCTCTACATGGCCAACAGCAGAAAGGACATGAATGAAACTCTGACAGATATTCTCATGAATGCTTGTGTTACTGCAGTTGCCATGCCTGCAAGACTGATGATGGAGCATGTCCTTTTGGTCAGCATTCTTCATCATAATGTAGGAATTGAGGTAATTCTTGTGGTTGGGACTAATTTTGTTTAATAATACATATTGTAGAGTGTTTTCCTTGATATTTTATTTGAATTGCCTTTTAATTTTTGATTGTGTGTCACTAAAAAGCATCTCTAGTTGAATTTCATCAGTATTTGTAGCTTATTTGCTAGGTGTCCACAAGTGAAAGGGACCAGTCTGTTGCTCTATCTGATTAATTTATTTCCTCCATGAGTTACCACTGGTCAATTATAAAAACATCAGTTTCTTCATGAAAATCTTTCTGCATCCATAAAACTGAATTTTTTAAGCGTCAAGTTTTCTCCTCTTTAATTACACTAATCCATTTCTGTTCTCTTGGGTATATGAGGGTATTGTTCTTGAACGATGTGTATTCAGATAAGGAAAGTGCTACAGTTACAGAAATCCTTTTACGTCAATGGAAAAAGTCCTTTTTTAAGCCTAATCATGCAAATAATCAGTGGAATTAACTAGGTATATCAATGACTCCAGAATATCAAAAACTTCAGAAAGCATGGCAAATTTTTTGGAGGTTTTTCTTTTGTGTTTTTAAGCGTGATGAGTGATTGAGATAAAATATCTCTTGCTTACTGTTAAGAAGACGCTGAAACTACTGATGTCAAAGGGAAGATTTTAGCTGATTTCAGTGAAATGTCTCTCAGGAAGCCATGTTCCCATCAAGTTACATTTTCTTTCTACATCTCAATGCAAAAGATGCATTGATGCAAGTTCTTCAGTTTGTCATATAGTAACCTGAATGCAGTCTCTGAAACCATATTAAATATCAGGATGCAATTACAGCAGCTTTTTCCATGCAGCCTTGCTATTAAATTTTTTTTTTTGTTCCTCTTTGCTGCTTGAAAGGCAGTTCTGACTGCAAATATAATGTAATATTACAATGCTGTTTTAAGAAGAGAAACACAATCTTTTTAGAAGTTGAAACTTTGGAGAATACCTAGTAATTAGGTTTTAGATATACTGATAGGTGTTAGAAATAGATGATATCCAGACTGTGTTTTGTACTACCGACTCTCTTACATAGCATCTTTGAATCTAAGACTGTAGCATTAAACCATAAAGCCCTATTATTTCTTCTGTAAAATAAATGTAGAATATGCATTACACGAAAGTGTGATAGCACAGCTGCATTTAAGATTAGTTTGAGCAATGCAGAAGTTGGGATTCCAGTAATTGTGTTTATGCATTTGTGCAATATGATCATTGGATAGTTAAAACCTAAGCTGGTTTGTAATGCAAGTCAGTGCTGCTCCTGGGACTTCCAGTTTTCATACCAACCATCAGGAAATGTTAGCACCATGATAACGGGGGGGGCGTCTTGTTCAGCAGTAATGTTCATTACCTACCTATATTTTGATATGCTTTCTAATTCCAATCTTTAGCATCGGTTCTCTCTTCACAAACACAGAGATTCCAAAATTTCTTTTCCCAACTGTACCACTGACAAATGGCTGAGACTTATCCTGACTTCAAAATCAGCCTAAGCTCATGCTCAGCAACTGTGAAAACTTGGTATGTTGGGGGTTGTTTTACAATATTATTTTTTACCCTCGTGTTAAGGATTTTATTCTGGAATGCTGAACTCTGTGATGCATTTGGTTTCTGACATGCAGCTTTTACTGGATGAATGACTAGCAGTAACAGCATGCTAGCCTGACAGCTGGGAAGATGCTAATATGTGTCCATGAAAATTCTGTAAACAAATTCTGATGTATGTGTACTGTAAGTTCATAACATTTGCTCTTCTTGCACAGACTTTAAAAGGCAACTGGATAGCATATATGAAGTGTAAATAACATACACTTTCAGAAAATGTGACACCACTTAGATATTTGTATATGTAAATGTAGAACATCCATATTGGTTGAGAGGAGTGACAATATTTCTTTAAAATTAATAGTGGCAGTGCCCCAAAAATGAATGTTTTACAGATGTCTGTAAAATCTACTTACGGTTAACTGCTGGATTTTTCCCCCCCTGCTGCCTTAATGGAACTATTGCCAGGTCGGTGCTCACTTTTTGGAAGCCGTGGTGAAGAAATTTGATGAACTCTGTAAAAGTGATGCTGAAGGGAAAGAATGTGAAAATCTGCTTGCCTTGATTGCTCATCTGTATAACTTCCATGTGGTTCATTCCCTGCTGATCTTTGATATTCTGAAAAAGCTTGTTAGTGCTTTCACTGAAAAAGAGATTGAGTTGATTTTGTTTCTTCTGAAAAATGTGGGCTTTTCCTTAAGAAAAGATGATGCGTTGGCTTTGAAGGAACTGATCACTGAAGCCCAGAGGAAAGCAAACACAGCAGAGAAGAAACTTCAGGATCAGACTAGGGTATGTGTGTGTGTTTTAAAGATTTTCTGTTCTGAATAGACTTTAATAAGCACTTGGATACATGTGTTAATTTACCAAAATGTTTTCTGATGCACTCTATTTAGATTCTAAGTTACCGTTAGTGTTCAGTTGTTGCATTCAGTTGTTTGCATTCTTCTTGTCTATCAGTTCTTAGGACACAGACACCAAAATGCTTCTAATGGTCGAGACTAGAACTGTTTTATGTCTTATGCAATGGACAGTGCTTCTGTTTCATGTACACTTTAAAAAATGGCCACTGAGGCATGGTGTTCAGCAGATTAAGCTTTGAATTGAAGGCTGAACATGTTAAAGTAAACATCCTTCTCTCTATTTGTATTCATGTAATCTAAATTTTGATATATATTGCCAGCTGAGCTGCTTATTCTCACAGAATAGTAATTTCAAAGTACACTCTCTACTTTAATAAAGAAACTCACAGCACATAATCCACAGAAATATTTCTTTTCCCAATAGGTTCGTTTTATGCTAGAGACTATGTTAGCATTAAGGAATAATGACATGCGTAAGATTCCTGGTTATGATCCTGAACCAGTTGAAAAACTCCGCAAATTGCAAAGAACACTGGTGAGAACTTTCTTGACATATGCAGTATAGCTGTTCTTAAACCAGAAGTAATTATTTGTATTGTATGTTGGCTTGATGGGCTATAGTATTTTTTAATTTGTTTAACAGTCTGAAACTCTTGCGGACAAAAATCGCTTCTTAGATCGTTAATTATTATCTCCTGTGTCCAAGTTTAGTCAGCAGTCAACCAGCCTTCTGCAGAACAGTTTGAGAAAGGACATAATACTTAGCCAAAGACTTTGCCTCAAAGTCCTATACTTGAAAAAGAGATTGTGGGGTGTTTAATGATTATGCAGAAGAAATGAGTCATTATGACAAGTTCTTTTTTCCGTAGATTTTGGATGCAGGCACCCGCTCCTCACTTCACCAGAATTATTTTGGAAGTCTAACACTTCTGAAAACCTGGATGTTTTTTCTTTTTTGGTTTTGTTTTTTTTTTTGGAGGAGAGAGGGCAGTTTGTCTAGAACAACCCAGTATAAGATGCATGAAAGTAATTGTCTCTTTGGATTGAGAACGAATTCATTTTCACAAGACTTGAATCTGGTTTTAGAGTCCCTCTATCTCCAACCTGAAAATAATACTTGTCTACAACGCCTAGAGCATCTTATTTGCAGAAATTTGTAAATGCAGGATGTGCACATCGGTGATAATAGGCCAGGCAAAAATAAGCTAGGTAACCTAGATCTGTAGAATTTCCTCTCTTAAATTTTCACAGTCCTCTTAATACGCTTCTAGCCTCTTTTGTTGCAAATTCGTATTTTGTTTGAAGAGTTTAAACTTTGTGTTGTTTGAATTATACAAAACTTAAGGCAGTTTGTCATGTCATTTTATTTGACCACAAGTGTTCAAAAGGAAAATCATGACCAGATTTTAAGATGCTGCAACTGATTTTCAATGTCAGCATCAAGTCTGAATTCTAATCAAGTTTTGTGATTGGAAGATGGCTACTTTTTAACTGATTGTCTCTTTTTTACATAAATCAAGAGCTTCTAAATGTAGCTTTAAGCAACTTTTTGTGTTTGAGAAATTAGAGCATATGGGAAACTTGTAAATTCTTTTCACGTTGCTGACTGAAACTAAAGACTGTGGGGGGAGAGCGTATGAAGACCTTTATGGAGATTAAGTTATTTGTTTTAAAGTAATTGTAATTAATTAAAGTATTTGTTGCGGGGGGGCGTTGTTCTTTTGGTTTTTGTTTGTTTGTTTTGGGGTTTTTTTGTTTGTTTGTTTTTTAAAAAGAAACCTTCAAATAAAAGCTTTTGGGTTTTTTGTATTTTGTTATTCAAGGTTCACAACAGTGGTTCTGGAAAAGAAACTCAGCTCCGAGTCTCCCTGGAATCTCTCCTCAGTGCTGATCAGGTTGGTCGCTGGTGGATCGTAGGGTCATCCTGGAGTGGAGCACCAATGATTAATGATACAAACAGCAAGCCTCAGCAAAAACTGCATTTAGGAAAGGTAAATCCAAGAAGTGCTAGTTGTAAGTCTAAGTGTTCATGATCTTTTGAATATTCTTCATACAGGTGAATAAGTTTGTTTCGGAGCCCACCAAAAAAACCTTCACAGACTCTTGTAAGACTAAGTTTTTGGACTGTAAATTCTGCTCTTACATTTTTCAAAATGTTGTACTCATGCGCTTCATAAGGGCTGTTACTGCAAATATTATGGTATAGCTTGTTTTTTCTTATCCTGTGGAATTGCAAAAATAACTTGTTATGTAAGTGGAAGAAGAGACTTGACCTAAAGTGGATTTGCTAGTATGAATTCTGACAGGTAATGTCTATCCATGGGTGGCATATATCTAAACTGATTCTAAAAGTAGTGTGCTGGGATGGTCATGGTGACTTGCCTTAGAGAAGCATGTCTTAAAAATAATTGGCACAATTAAAATGCATTAAAATATATTTCCCTAGTTAAAAAAGCTCCTGATGATGCCCATGCCTCTGGACAAAAACTCAGGACCTTTGGATTGATGCTTCATAGTTTACTGGAGATCTTCATTAATGGTCTTATTGGAGGCTGCACAGAAATAGCTTTTTTAAAGCAAGCTTAAATAAAATAGCATTTAATTTTTTTTCAGGTGAGTTCAAAGATAATGGAGCTTGCTCGTAAGCAGAGAATGAACACCGATATCAGGAGAAGTATTTTTTGTGTCTTGATGACAAGTGAAGACTTCCTAGATGCCTTTGAAAAGCTTTTCAAGTAAGTACAGACTAGCACAGAAGACAGCCTAGAACTAAGAATAGCATTAGCTGGATTGGAAAAATAACATTGCTGGTCTGGGTTTAAGAGTACTTAATTGATAATACAATTAAAGTGCATAGCTAAGGATCCATGTAGGGTAAAAGGGTAGAAGAGGGGACAAAACCCTGGTGTAAGGACTAGTAGGGGGCAGGCAGAATTGACTGTCAGAGGAAAGGAGCAGCCCCTGTTATTGTCACTCATATCTATAACGGTGATTTACAGCATCTTTTGACTTAAGAAGCCTGTATCTTTTTGCATTGAAGATGTGCATCCCGGTCTAGCAGATGGAAGTCTATTGCAGGCTTGCTTCCTTACAGAGGCAGAGCAGAAGCGCCTTCAGAACATGTCTTGGTTGAGTCACTGGATTTCCGTACTACTGCCACTTCCTTTACTTCTTGCCACCTTGTTAAGCCATCTTGTAGGTCTCTGTCCATACTTGCATGACCTGGTAGTGTTCTAGCACCTCCACTTCCCTCTTGCAGAATTTATTAGCTTTGGATTTGCTCCAGGGTCACATTTCATGTTAAGACCAGTTTCCTTACCGCTTTGCAAACAGCTCTTTAGAAGAAGATGTGATCAGGGAAAAGCTAAAACTAAGCTATTCTTTGTGTTTGTCAGAATATTAATTGTAAGTCTATAGTAACTGGGAGGGGAGAGATCAGGTCTGAACTTTTCTGTTGCAGCCTTGTAATTCAAGGGAATTGTCTTACCAGGATGGCATGCAATTATTTAATTTGCTAACCAAACCAAAACAGACTTTGTAATAAAGTCAACTAATATTTGATTAAATGCCACTTCTGCAAAACACAGCTTGGATTTAAGACTGTGATGGAGTCATTCCAATATCTTAATATGGCCTGTTCAATTAAAAGAAATTAGCTGCTGGTGCTGCAGTTCTTGCCAAGACCTGCTAGTTCAATTTGCAAATTGATCCTTGACTCTCATCTGTGCTATTTAAACTAGTATACAAATCTGTATACATACAGCTTGGCAGAAAAACCTGTCTGCAGATTGCTTGGTGTGTGTTGATACTGATTTTTATACACCAAACTCAGAGAGGAATTCTCAAATCTGCCCACATCTGTCAGAATATAATGGAAAGTACACAGAATTTTCAGTGAAGGAATTAACTTTAATGTGAATGTGCGTTCCAGAGTGTATGGGAATTTATATTCCTATGTTTGATGTCAGTCTCATGAGGAGGAGCCTGAGAAATACATGAAGAAATATTTTAACTGCGCTTGTTGGTTCGTCTGCTGCTAGATCTATGGCAAAGTTGAGGTGTGGTTAAATGGTAATTTAAACCATTTTAAACCATGCTGCTATAGTTCTGCTTGTCTTTCTCCTCCTTACATCAAAAGAAAGTAATTAGTCTGAAGCCAGAACAGCTCCCTGAAATGGCTCAGGTTGTGATTCCAGAAGCGTCAATGTAAAGGGACTTGGACTGGGAACATCACTGGAGGCAAAGAGAAGAGAGTGAGAGTTGGTCTATTTCATCAGCTGAAAGGCCGTACCTCCTTCACAAACCACAGATTCACACATGAGGGGGAATGAATGCTTCTTAAGTTTGATGAAGAGGCAATTTTTTAAGTTATTTCATAGAGATGAAGAATTTGAGAAACTTCCTACGAAAAATTGAAACTTGTAAAAGTCTTAGATATCCTCTTGTAATGTGGTGTGTAGTTCAGGATAGCGAGTATGTGACTGTATCTACTAAAATCGTTTGAACTGACTTTTAGAAGTTGTGTTTGAGTATTGCTATTTTTCATCTAAAGGCAATGGTGGTCTTGGGCTTCAGCTGATGATAACTAGCCTAGTCAGAGGCAGGCTTCTGCTGGTGATAAACAATCTACGTCAGAGGCAGTGATTCCATATACAGGGGGAAATTCTTAAAGTGATCAAGACATACAAGTCCATGGGAATACTGTAACTCATGAATGATTTAATAGGTGAGATTCTTTATCTAAGATTATCAGTCTTATGAAATCTGTACAGATTTATGGTGAAGCTCAGCAATGAAAGACAACCCTGACTCTTAAATTTAGATGTCTAGGAATGCTAGGTCTGAAAAGAGAAAGTACTGCTAGGTCTGTGAAGAAGCGAAAGTAAGAACAAAATTGAACATCAAAGTGCTGATTTACTTGGTTACAACCATCTGGTGACATGAATACTTCCTAAATAAGCAAGTCATCATAGAAGTGATGATGAACAAGCAAAAGGAGAGTGTGCCAGATTAGTGATCGCAATGTAACTTCACAAGTCATCTATTAAATGCATGTCCGGTGGCTGAAAACCTGCGTATTTTTTAAAAAAAGTTTTGTTGCTCTGTAGTAAAATCAGATAGCACTTGGCTGATGGGAGAGCAAGCAAATTATATCACAGACACGCACTTACAGTGCTGGTCTCTTTTGGAGAAGCAGACTTCTAAGTTTTCACCACTCATTAACAATCAGCCTAGAAATCATTCCAGATTTTCATATTGTAAAACCTTAAATTCTGGGGGTTTTTGGCTGAAAGACAATATTTTCTCTGTTAATCTGGTATGTGTCTGTGATCAAATGCAATGGCAGATGTCTGGAGGCGTATACAAACGAGGGATATTAGACTCAAGCGATAACAAACTGTACTCTACAGACTGTAGAGCAAGTTCCAGTGGAGTCAAACTTAGTTAGAAAATACACTTGAGTTATACTAATGTCATATGAAACTTGAGCTTGAAGCAATGAAAAGAATTTTGTTTGACATTTTTCAGATTATAATACGAAGCATTTTTCATTTTAATTGGTTTTAATGCTGCCAAGCATTTGGCAGCCCTGGAAGCTAAATCATATTATTCACAGAACAGGTGCATTGCGAGTTAGTTACCATTCCCTGCCAAAGTGTCTCAGCCCTCTTTTAGACTGGTCAGTTGTTCAGTCCTTGGCCTTTATTCTGAGGCCGCCAACATAAGTACTCATTGATACTGACTGTTTTCTTCAGGCTTTTTTTTTTTTTTTAGGGTGGTTTGAAATCACTGACTGCATCCTCTTAGGCTACTGTCAAACAATAATGAATTTCAAGTATTATGTAGCATGGAGTTGACCTAGAGATGAAAAGATTCATATCACCAAGTAGGGAAAACATCTTAAAATATTCTCTTATCCCTAGTAAGTACCACAGAAGTGAAGGGCCCTGGACATGTTTCTCTAAATAGGCTTATACTGATCCGAGGGCTGTTTTTCCTCCTGTGACCATAGATACCAGTGTGAGATAACCACAACAGGGTCCTACAGTTCTTGTTTCACTATTTAACCTTTGTATTGGTACACCATGCAGCAGTGCTTGCTGCAGTACTACTGCTATGTTCAAAGGCACAAGACTCCATGATGACAGGGCCCTCCTCTGTTTTTCTTCATGGAGAGCTACAGACATGGAGTGGGCTACCTTCCCTTCCCCAGGGGGTAATTATACTTGTATCATTCCACTTCTTGGATGGATTGAGGTCTTGCTTTTTCAGCCACTCCTTTAACACCGATAATATAGTAGCATTTCCATATTGCCATACCAGGATACTGATTTAGCCCACAGTCTTAAGGGTTTGAGTCGATTCAGTGTTTTAAAGACTTTGTAAGAACTTTCTAACAAGTAGAATTTAATGTGGTGGTTGGAGGTTTTTTTAAGCCGTACTATGGGATGTTGACTGTAGCTCTTGCTTTGTGGCAGCAATTTTTTCCGTACTAAATGATTCTCATTCTCTTGCTAAATTTTAGGCTTGGACTGAAAGATCAGCAGGAGAGAGAAATTGTTCATGTTATCCTTTATTGCTGCTTACAGGAGAAGACATATAATCCCTTCTATGCATTTTTGGCTAACAAGTTTTGTGAATACGAAAGACGATTTCAGGTGAAGAAAAACCTGTTTCTACTTTGTTTTAGTGTCATTATTGTGGTTAGGAAGACAGTTACTAAACACCTGAGAATGGATGCATGCCTGTTAATATCTTGATCCTGAGGAAAAATTCTGCTGGTATAGCTATGCGTTCAGTGAGGCATACTCATGGTCAGATCTGAATAGGAAATAAAATACTGCAGAAGGTTTGCTTTCCTCTGTTTTATGAATTTTAAAAGAATTGAACAGTCTGATCAAGCATCTCTGTTAATTAACAGTGGGCTCATAAAGAGTAGAAGGTCGAAAGTTTTTGTTATGTTGTTACTTGGTTAAACAGTCACTTGATTTGTAGGATATTTTTTTTTTCCTTTGACACCTAGGTGACATTTCAGTTTAGTATTTGGGACAAAATCAGAGAGTTAGAAAATCTGTCAGCCGCTGCCATCTCCAACTTGGTTTCACTGTTGGCTCACTTATTAAGGACAAAATCCTTGCCACTTTCAGTTCTCAAGGTTGGTGTGTTTTCTTTTCAAAATACTTTTGGGTTTTCCTTGCATTTGCTAGTTCTATGGAAAATGTATTTTCTTTGTTACCTAGCTGGTACTTTAGATGTTTGTGGCCATAAGCTAAGACAAAACTTGTTCTAAAATTACCAAATTAACCCCATTGATCATGGTAATGCTATGATTCGGGGAAAGGGGAACCTATGGTGACCCAGGTGTACAGAAAGTCTACAATTCTATATCCAGAGCAGTTGTAAGATTATTTTCTTTAGAGTATCCAGAGTTGGAACTAAGGCCCCATCATTAACAGACTTTGTCAGTGGATTCTGTGCTATGTTTTTTAGCTAATGTTGATTTTTGTTAGACCAGAAAGAAATCTACTGAGCACTTGGATTTCAGAATGGGGAGTCCATAGAATTTTATTAGAAGAATAATTGAAATGTGTTAAACAATTATATGGATTGTCCTAGGTACTTCTGAAGTATTTATCTAATTGGGAAATTATATCTGGTATTCTGATACTAGTAGAGAGGTTATTCCTTAGAAACTTCTCTGCTTCCTTATTGATTGGCTTTTGGAGGCAGCGTTCTTGGCTAATTCTATTGTGCCAAACTTAAAACACAGTATAGATGGGAGGTGAGTTGGTGTGCTAAAAGCTGTTCATTTAGAAGAGAATTCAGCTGTTTGAAATACTTGAATTAATCTAATTCTCCCTATCTCTCCACTAGGTAATTGAATTCAGCGAACTAGATAAACCCAAAGTCCGTTTCTTGAGACAAGTATTAAGCATGCTGTTAATCAAAACAGATGCTGAAGAGCTTAGTGACATTTTTGTGAGGTAAGTGATCAGAGAGATCTCCAGGGAACCCTTGGTGAGTAGTAATTAAGGAAGTTTGCTTATTTTTTTTGGAATTATACAGTGCCTTTTCCAAAGATCAGCCATCCATCCCTTAAAAAGTAAGCTCTTCTGGGTGAGTGGGGGGAAGCGTATCATTTGTGTGTTGGTACAGGCTCCGACACAGATACAACTGTGAGAAGTGTTATACAAAATAAGGCTTTCAGATATTTAATGTATCATTTTGGTCACAGGATTTTCATGAGCACAGCTCTGTAATGACCTGCTTTCCTTATTGCTTTACCATCTTTGCAGTGGGATTCACTCTCCCAGCAGTCTTTGCTAGAAGGTGTCTTTAGTGTAAGAAGGAAAAATAAATAAATACTAATGAGGGAAAGGTTTGGGGGAATTTTTTTTTTTTTTTTTTAAATCAACATTGTCTGGAAAATCTTATTTTTGTATATGGGACAGGGTTGCCTGGAGAGGCTGGGAAATCTCCATCCTTGGAGATGCTTAGGACTTGGGTGGATAAGACTCTGAGCAGCCTGACCACACCTGGATGTTAGTCCAACTTTAAACAGGAGGTTGGACAAAATGACCTGCCGACATCCTTTCTGACTTAAATTATTCCGTGATTCCATGATTTTGTTGTATTAAATTTACAATGTCACATAAAGTTAGAAGAAATTAGGTGATGATGTTTCAATCATTAATGCTGCACCACAAGGAAGTTCAAACATGGTGTTTGCCTCATTTTTTGCTGTAATGTAATTGTTTACATAAAGCAAGTCTAAGGCTCCAATACTGCATTTTATTGTTGAGGATCAATTGTATGTTGAGTGTGTTTGGGCTGTTTGCCAAGCCAATGTAGACTTATTGGTAATTTGAAAGCCTCTTCAGAAAAGCTCCTTTTATATGTTGCATTTTTTTCTACATCTGTATTTGAAGAAGGTAAAGAAAAAAATTAAGAAACTTCTGAAACAGTAGAAGACTAAATGCTGTTTTTGATCTGTATCTTTACAGGATATCTGACAACCCCAAACTGGGAATGCTACGGGAAGGCTTGAAACTCTTCCTTACCCACTTCTTACTGAAAAATGTACAAGCCCAAAAAAGTGCTGAAGAAGCTAGCTTATTGAAGGAAAGAGTTGAGCTAGCAACCAAAGCTTTGCAAGCAAAAGAACCCAAATTGAAGCTATAGTTCTGTTTTTCTAATAAAACATATGGAAAAACTAGGTCTGCATGAAGATGCAAAGCTTTGTTAGTCTTTCAGACCCAAATTAATTGAGAATGAGGAGATCCGTGTTACTCCAAAGGATGCATTTTTTGATGTAAACAGTTACTTTTCTCTATACACCAGCTACAGGTTTAATTGAAGGTGATGCAAGGCCTTCTGAAGAAAGGGAAGATATTTTTGTCACGTCCCTTTTTAGTACAGGTGATTCATGTTGATAGTTAGTATCTGCAGAAGATGTTGAATTTCTCTTCTATGATACTCCCAGTCAGCAGTAGTGTTCTGCATTGCATATTCTAACCTTTCATTTAAAATAATAGTGTAATACTGACCACTGTATGTTAAAGAAGCAGCCTTAACCAAAGGCTTTTAATAACTAATCATTGTGCTTGCCTGAAGAAACAGGCCACTAGATGGCAAAAGTACTGGTGAGTCAGTTTTGGAAGAAATATAACTTTTTTCTTAGAGTGTTGAAGTTATCCGCTAATTCTGTGAATTGTTGGCCTGGCTGTGGGTCAGGAAAAGATCTTCAGTTGGATTCAAAGCTGTAGTAAAATGACTCAAAGATCTGACTTTGCCCGATTATATTGGGTTTAGAGATCACAGCATGGCTTTATTGCTCTTTTAGCCTGTTTTTCGCAGCTTTAAAATTGGAGTTGCCTAATCACTTGTGTTAATCAAATTTTTCTAGGCATAAAGAATAATATCGGTATGAGTCTTTAATAAGACAATACCCTCCTTAAGAATTTGCTTGCATTTTCCATTCAGATGTTTAAAAAAAAATTATGTACATTTCTTTCTGTAACACTCAGTGTTAATGGTTTGTTTCTTTTCTCACCTTACCACTACACATGAAACTGCAATTTTTCTAAAGGCTTTGCTGTTTGTATTAGCTTGACTGTAGCTGGTTTGCCGGGAAGGGAATGACCTTAAATTGGGGGGAGGGGAGGAAGCACTTTCTCATCTGCAATATGCGCTGCATCTGCATAATCTACCTGTGCTAGAGCTGCCAGCCCTGTTTCTATAACCAGGCTTGCCCTCTGCTGTTCAATAGTCCGCTCACTTATGGTGCCTCCTAATTACATTTGATACCAATTGATCTATTCAACTGCTTTGAATCTGTCCCTGTTGGGAAAATTTGCTCCCAGTAGGCATCCTCCAGAAAATTTTCAGTTCTGCAGCAAGAGAGGTGGACAAGAATTTTTATTTTTTTTTTATTTTTTAATCAGAGTTGAATGTAGAATACTCTGCTTGCTCAGTTGTATGAGTAATGTTTTCAGGCAGACTGCAGCAGCCAGGCAGCTGTTTTTTTTTACCTTTCCTCTGTTGGAGAGGGCAAGTTGCAGGGAACAAGGTGTCCTGGGGGCAGAGAAGACCCAGTTTCAAAATCCCAGGTTACGGTAGCATGGTAACAACTAACACAGAAGAGACTGCTATCAAAAGAACAAAGCAAGATGCTTTCTTCAGCCTTTTTTGTACCATTGGCAGCTTTTAAGCATACAAAACTGGTTATTTCCCCTCAGTTACATCTCACGCAACTGACACAAGAGGAAAAAAATTTAGTTAAAGTATTTCTAAAATTCATACCAATTAACAGAAGTACGGGCAGCAGAAGAATTGGCGCTGTATTTTGATGGATACAAAAGTCACAACTTTGAAGAGTGCATTCAAACAGCTCCCTTGCAAACAACTCTGCCAAACCTCGTATTTTAGTTTTGGAGGCTGGACTAGGGAGAAAATCTGTGCAAGGCCCTAGAAAGTGGCTGCTGTGGAATGCGTGGGACCTTGGTGAGTAAAAATTGCTCCCTCTAGACTGCAGCAACCACCTAATTAATTACTTTTCTGCAGGAGTTTAGGTAGACCCACCATTTCAACGTGTTTCTGTTTTAATAACATATAAATGGAAACACATTGCTCTAGCTGGGAGGTTGAGGCAACTTTCCTCTTCGAGATAAACCTTGGAACATCTTCTTTAAATTAAATATGACATGCTGCCGGTTCCTTGTTTGATTGCCTTGCTTGGTGATCAGAATTGACCACCCTTTGCTGCCCGTGGAAAGATTGCCTAGTGTTTTATGGGTCCGAGCCTATTCACTTGCTGCAGCTGCCTGAGGCAGTGTGATGCAGGTGTTGCTATGCAATTAGAGGAGATGGTTTTAACCTTACAGTCTAAAATTACAATTGCTATTTTTTTTTTAAACTGTGACTTGCATTAGTTATTATTTATCCCAAACACCTAGTATGTTTTGTTCAAACTTATGGTTATTAGAGCCATTGCTTTGTTTCTGAAAAAAACAGATTTTACCTGCCTACAGCTTTTACATTTGTCACATTTATGTATAAACATAAATTTTTTTGAAAAACTGAATTTTCAAGGAAAGCAGCCAAAATACACTGCCAGTCCATAGTGCTGTAGTTATGGTACAAGGACAGTTGCTGCGGGTGATTGTGCATCAGTCCCATCCTCTTGCTGTGACAGGGAATAACTGTCAAACAGAAATTTGACGTTCTAAGATAAATGTGAATTCCTGAGTCTTGGATCTTGCCATGTTTAACAATTTTTTCCGTGGTCCTACTGGCCAAACTGCCACAGTTTGACCCAGGTGGAAGGCCTGTCAGAGCGTGCCACTGATGTACATACGCATCTGCAAGCTGTCGCTTCTGTGGTCCAGTCGCATCGCGAGGATATAAGGCACGTGTGAAAAGGAAGGCTGAGATTATTTTATATTTATTTTGTATATATTTA